GAACATTCAGACTTTCTTGACGATTGGGATTCTAGGAAGACCATTACATACTCGACCAGCCCACCTGCCATCGTGAGACAAGCTAAAAGTGAAGCAACATAAAAATGGTTAGCCTTCCCAAAGATGAATTTCTGCACAACATTCTGGGAAATCACCTATTTGTATCCATACATTTTCACCTTCACTATAAGTGGAAAGGTTTGCTATATTTATTTAACTACAATTCAAAACATTTAAGTACTGCACTATATGTTAATGCTACTCAAACTCCATTATTTATAATCAAAATATGTTTACGTCTACTTTGTTGTCTGCCTGATGGCCTTTTTATGAGAGTTTTCTAATTTTCTTGGTGGTGCAGTGATACTTTTTTCTTCGCCTGTAATCCCGGCGTCCTCCTCGCATCATTCTGCCGTCACTGACCATCATTATTCAGCCGTAATCCAGTCGTCCTCCTCGCATCACCCTGCTGTTCCCCTGGCCGATTGCCTGGAGATGCCATCCAAGCGCGCGTGGCTGAAAAAGTGCTTCATCATGGTCAGGCGCAGGTAGATGACAACAAGCAACACAACAATGAGCAGCTCAACAGAGGAGTACGATGTAACGCTCGTCATAGGGAATCAGGAAGGTACAGTGATGGGTACTTTATCTTCCTTGGTCATCACTTTTTTCAAACTATCTTCGCCACAGAATGATTCTTGATAGCAGTACCTCCCATTTATGTTTTCTATTCAGCATAATCATATCCAACTGTGTTGTATATTCTTTTCTCCATATGAGGGCCTGCTGTATGACCAATTCATTTCTCCCTTCTATCTGATTGCCAGTCTGGTGATGACTTTCTAATAATTTGTACGTATGTCTTTTTGGACTGGTCATTAGTTTCTGAAATTAAGGTACTGTGACTTGGGAGGAATATATGTGTATGCACTGTTGTTACATTGCAGGAGAGTGAACTGTGATCATTTCTCCGACACCGTACTGTGACTTGGGAGGAATATATGTGTATTCATTTAACCAGGAATACTTGTCGCTAAAATGGATAAAAATGGGTGTATCTAGAACTAGAATACATCTAGGTACATCCATTTCTCCGACAAGTATTTCCGGACAGAGGGAGTACTTTTTTGAGGACAATGCTGCATTGTGTCTGCACTTTTTTGTGTGCATAGAATATAATGCATGTCCCATATGACTGGTTCAAAGAAATACAAGCATAGTTTGAGGTAAACTGGCCAGAAAACTAAGATTACTTTTAAGTAAGGATAGAGCCATGGATTACATGATTGCTTTTCAAAACACAACATCAAATGTAGTCGAGCACACCGCTTCGGTTGGTGGAAGTTTTGAACTTGGTATTCATAATAACCCATGTATATGTTTACTAACGGTAACTATTTCATCTGATGGTACTGCTATTGTGTCACAAAGAACAAGTACTCTGATGATGCCAAGAAGCATAATGTCGCAAGAACTTTTATGTCACTGTTTTCTGTTCAATGTATTTCATCAGCAGGTGAGAGAGCCTGCTGAAACTTTATTTTATTTCATCTTTTTTAACTGGCAAACAGCTTGCTTTGCGTATGATCAAACCTTCAAACTGATTAGGTTCCATATCATAAACAAAGCAGATGTAGCTGGTTCTACTTTTGTTGAATTATTATGGTTACAAGGATCAACATATGTATTTTTTTGATTTAATGTTTTGTTTCTGCCCCTTTTTCGACCCATTCTCAAAGGTGTGTTGCCGTCGAAGGCGAAGACTAGATGTTCTGCTCTTGTGTTTGAACAATCTTAGTTGGCAGCAAGTTTTTTTTTAACAGTGTTCAGTAAACCTGCCCATGTTGTATATAAAATATATACAATTCCATTAAATTTTCTTCTATGTTTTTTGTCAAAATACATCAGCTCATGGTCACTGAATAAATTGATGTTGACTATTGTTGGGGCAGGTGAAGATGCAAATATCTTTTCACATAATGATCGTAAGTCGAGAGGTGCGTTACACGTGCATGCTTACTAGTTACATTTAAAAAGAAAATATGTTGCTGGCTGTGGATTTCTGAGTTTGAAGAGAGCTCGCTTGAGGTGTGTATAATATAAAGACTTTGACGGCTTTGAGAGAGGGTGTGATGCGCTGGAGATCGATACTGTAATACGAGTTGTTCGATTCGTGGCAGTGACGGCAGCGCAAGTTTAGACGTACTTGGAGTACGTCGGTCATCTCATCCTTGGACTTGGAGGTTGTAACCATTTCGACTTGGAGGGTGTATCTTTGCATGCACCCGGGAAGGAAGAGAAATCTTTGCATGATCTGAGGCAAATGAAGTCCATGTTTTTTTTTTCTTATCATATTTTTTAGAAGGCAGAATTTGAATTAAAAAAACTACAGCTTGTTGCGAACCACGAGCACAGTGCGGAAATCATACCAGGGCTAGTCCAAAGACAGCCACCCTGAGGGCACAACTACAAAGCAAAAAGAGTTTGTCAAAAACAGAGCAACATCGCCACATCTCGACCATCACCGGTCACATCCGAAGACAACACCAACTTCGGGTGAACTTTCCCTGTCGACGCATCATCCACCCATTAATGCCTAAAAGGAGGTGGCAAGTAGATGGCAGAATTTATCAGTCCACTAAAAGCATCGTCTTGGATTCACCCGCGATGACGTACATTGCGCCACTAAAGATCGTCTTGGACAACGGCGAGCACCGAAAGTAGCTCAACATGAAACCTCAAGACCGTGCCTTCAAGCACGATGCTCCCAACAGAATAGCGACATAGAGGACGCCGTCATCATGCTGATTCAACTCTGAACATAGGCTTTCGCCCGAAGACCACTACCAATCCCAGGAGCGAGTGGGCCACGTCACCCAGATTGGCCACTTCGCCACCGCCGCAGCACTTCGCCATCATAGCCGTCGGGGTCCATCCAAGACCCACACAACCAGGAGCACACAGTCCTACTACCAGCACCACCACGACCGAGAACTCGCCAAGCACCCTTGATGCCCCGACCATGGGTCACCGAACCGTACACCCATCCGTTAGGCCAACTCCCAACAGACGACTGTGCCACGACCCTACAGCCCAGACAGGACCCATCCGTCTCGCTCCGTTGCCCCCATCTCCCATGACCACGGAGACCAGGAGGGGATACCCACGACGGAGGCTCGAGGAACATGATGTACTCGGTCGCTGCAAGCATATCAACTCCTGGCCGAGCACCACTACGCCACCAAGGCCAAACCGCGTCGCCGCCTTGTCCCGTGCCATTGCCTCCAGGAGGGGTCACCGTGCCGCGACCATCTCTTCTCGCGAGCCCCAGCCACGCCCCTCCACTTCGCTGCGAAGCTCCGCCGCGCGCCATCACACCGGCTTCAGATCTCGCAGCCATCAGCTCCACGCCTCCTATCACCGCGAGGGGCACGCCCAACGCGCGCGAGGCAGATCCCGCCGCTGCTGGCTGCCAACGGGCTTTGCCAACCGACATGCGCTGACGACGACGAGGGGAAGGTGAAGGAGAGGGGGCGGCGGCGGTGGTGGTTAGGGTTCCGCCCGAGCCGCCCCTAGGGGGCGACGCGGGGACAAGAGAGAGAGAGGAGAAATGAAGTCCATGTTATCGGGTGTGTAAGGGGAAGCCTTCCAACTACGAAATCCACTTGATCCTCAAAAAAAATTGCTATGAAATCCACCGACTCCATACTTGGAACGGCATCGAATGGCCAACTCCACGAAGGTGAAAGATTTAATGCCATTTTGTTTTGTAAATCATGTATTTTGCAACAAATTATGGCTATCTTTGTCACCACCAAGTGAAAAAAAGTTTCGACTCGCCCTCAATTTCAAAGGCTCGTTCTCCCTACCAAACGCTCAACTCCCTGCCCCTACAAAAACCCTCCACGCCATCCCAATCTATTATGTATGGTCGCAATGCGTATGCATGGTGGTTTTTGCACATGTCTTAGCTGTTACCAAAACATGCAAAGAGTACTGCTCCCTCCGCCCGGGTTTACTAGCCCCCTCTTTTTTTTTGCCAAAATTTGATCATTATTTTTAACCAATTAAAATATAACTTACATGTCATGAAAGTTATACCATTGGAACCATTATATAAAATTTAACAATATATTTTTTGTAGCATATACTTTATATTTTGCTAGTCATACAGACAGTTAAAGTTTGACAAAATACGAGGAGACCCAATAAACCCAGACAAAAAAAGTACGTACAAAGACAAAAAAAAGCTGAGCATAATTTAGATGTCTATAGGTTCCTTGTGGTGGAACCCGTCCATCCTAGTTCAGGTCCTGAACTTGATATGTGTAATCGTATTTTTTCTGAATTTATTTCAGCCTTTTTGATGATATTCGTTCAACTGTGTCCGTCAATTAGAAAGTGTCAGCGGCGACTTCGTTAATCTCAAAACCTATCGTCTCAGCCTTTCGAATGCGTTCATAATCATAGGATGTACGTGAGCGTCTTCATAGTGAGCGTCTGCGCTTTTGTAATAAAAATATACAAAACGATAAAAATAGGACCATTCAGTCGACGCCGTTCCAACGAAACCTGCGTGCGAGCCGTGGCCGATACGGGCACGCCCACGAGCCACCCACCTGTCCCGGACGGCATCCAACATCCACCGGAGATGGACGGCACGGCCCGCCGGGCCCCCACAGCGCAGCGACCCAGCCACGTCCTGAACCCCCGCATCTTGGATTCATCCCGTCCCATCCCGTCCTCCCAGCCTCCACGTGCCACGTCACGTGCCTGCCCGGGAAAAAGAGAAATGGAAAGGAAAGTTCCGCGTTCCGCCACGACACGACACGCGGGGCACGAACGGGCACGAGCCGTGCACCCCCCACCCCCCCTACGCCGCCCGCCGCTACTGCCTCCTCTACAACTACACACACAACTCGGTTCTCTCCCCCATCCCTGGCGCTGGCGGTCGCGGTCGCGGGCTTTCGATAGAACCGAAGGATTCTGGGTTCGGCGACATGGGGATCTCGGGGCGGTTCCTCCTCCTGGCCGTGGCGCTGGTGATCGCCGCCGCCGCGGTGGCCGCGGATGAGCAGGCGGCGGTGGACCTGGCGGGGCCCGGGGAGATCGCGGCGGGCGTCAAGGAGGCCGCCGAGGCGGCCGCGCTCCGGGCGGAGCTGGCGCAGCTCAGGGAGAAGATCTCCGTCTTAGGTCAGTTCACTGCCCTCCTCGCCCCGGCCACCGTCTGAATCGGACCATCAGTATTTCTATGTGGGCGGGTGAGGGGATTGGGTCGGGGCTGGCCGGCCGGCCGGCGGGGACGACTGGATTCGTGCTCTGAGCTAGGTTAACTCTGTCGTACGATGCATGATTGGGAGTTGAGAGTAACCCCGACCAAATCCGCATGGTTTCCGGCTTGGCAAAAGCCTGTGGTTTTCCCTTTAATTATGAAATGATATTCTACTGTGTACAAGTTACCTTTTGGGGAGGATTATTTGGCTGCAGTGGCTGGTTACATATGTACGATAATCGTGCGCTCGTGCTTTTTTTTGGTTGCCGAGGTAAAATTGTGAATTTTTTATTGGCCTGGAATTTACTTGAAAAATGGACGTACTTTGCTTGAAATAAGAGGCCAAGTAACACTAGGAGTTCAATTATGTCTGTTGGAGGCTATATATATTTTGTCTGCACCAAGAGCAAAATAACTTGCATAAGCTTGGCGTGCCAAGTTAGCTAATTTCACCAAAAGCCATGGCAGTTGGCAGTTACTAATTGCGCAATATGAATTGCACACCATGATCCTTCCAGATACCCTCATGACCTCATCTAAGTGAGGAGTCTGATTGTTTTTCCTGCAGAGTCGGACATCGCACAGAGATCCCAGGACCTGAAGAGCAAGGATGATGGCATAGCGAAGCTGGAGAAGGACATTGGGGAGAAGTCACAGAAGATTGCTACTCTGCAGAGCGAGATCACATCTCTCCAGGTATGCATTATAATAGATATACGGAGATGCCTCTCAACTCTTAAGCATTATTTCGTGACAGTATCTTAAACATTACTCTGTGGCCTTAAAAATGTTTTTTCCTTATGCAGAAAAAAGGTTCTGTGGCTGCTGAGGAGCAGGCAGGCAAGGCCATTGCTCGGGTTGTTGAGCTTGAGGAGCAGGTATGGAGGATGGAAGCTAAATAACAGTTGAAATTGTCGATTATGAGCTTGTGGTTTCTCATCTTTGCTATTCTAGATTGAGAAGCTCAATAAAGAGATCGAAGCACAAAGTAGCCAGAGAACAACACTTGAAGCTAGAGCTAACAAGGCTGAGAAGAAGGTGCAAGATTTGAACTCGAAGCTTGAGTCAGTAAGTGTAGTCCTTCTCTTTTTTACCATTGGACCATTTCCATTTGTTAGGACCATATAACATAAATCCGTCATTCATACAGTAGGTTTAGGATAACATCTAACACTGTTTTTTTCTTTCTTAGCACTGTATTTTCTCATTCTCTTCTTTACTTATGAGCTCATGGCAATGTAAATAATTGTTGAATGAAGTCTACTACTACTGAAAATTAAATAATAGTTCACCAAATGATTACTGAACATAATACCTCAAAGGTTGAAAGTCTACATTTAATGTCCAAAGCTATTGAAAGCCTGTGTGTCGAATAACCATAGAACTGAACAAAGTTTAGTTTCTATAAAGCTATCCAAGGCCTGCGTGATAAGTACCATTGAACTGAACAAACATGCTAGATTTTGATCAAGTTATTCTTATTTCTGAATTTATCCTTGCTAGCTTCAAAAGGCAAGTGGCGAGCAAAAGCGTATGATCCAGAAAACGGAGCGTGCTCTTAAAGTTGCTGAGGTTTGCAATATGCTTTCTAACTGTTACTGCACTGCCCTATGTTGGTTCTGTGGTTTATCTATGTTCCATATCTGTTCTTTCTCATCTCCAGGAGGAATTGATGAGGCTGCAATTAGAAGCAACAACGAAGGCAAAACAGCTGACAGAGGTAATCATATGTCCCATCATTGCAGCTTGTTGTAACATTTTTAACCAAAATGATAATTTCTGCTGATCTACGAAGTTATTGCTTTGTGGCAATTCGGTCGTTTTATTGTCAGTTCTCAACAAGGAGAACTTTCAGCATATCTTAACTTGCACATTAGCTACATGCCTTGAGAATGCACCTTGGCATTATTTGTTGTGGTATTTCATCGGTGTGGTGGAATTTCTGAGGTTAACTTGTAGTTACAATTTTTCTACACTAAGTAGGAATTGTATGTATCACAATTCTAATACCTATAAAGGTATCCTCTGGAGATGATTCTAAAATTAGATGACATCTCTTCTGATTGTGTGCACTAGAAACGAATGTATGATGGTTTGTCCTTTTTCTTAGGTACATGGAGCATGGCTGCCACCTTGGTTGGTGACACATTCTGCCCAATATTTGGTAAGATGGAACCACAAAATATGCACCTCCGTCATCTGTTTTTTGCTCACCTCATCAGTTCCATCATCATTTTGTGTAGGAGGTGGTCTCAGGTCACTGGAATGAGCATGGAAAACCTGCCATGGACATCTTTTTGCAGAAGGTACCTCTTAGGTTCTTTTTAACTTCAAATTTCAAGGTGTAGTGCATGAATGAAGTCATCATTTATACGTTTCTTATCAAATTGCTTCAGGCATCAGAAAAATCAGCACACGCAAAGAAATGGGCTGAACCACATATCGAGACCGCGAAGCTGGTAATGCCATTGGATCAATGCATTTTACTCCTCAAGTGTTTCTTTATCTTGTATTGACAAAATATGTTCTTGCGTTTGAAGAAATTGGTTCCTGTTAAGGAGAAACTGGCTGTGCTAAAGAAAAACGCAGAACCTTACGTGGAGAAGGCGTCAGCAAAATCAGTGGAAGTTTATGAAGCATCCAGGGATGCTATTACACCCCACTTTGTAAAATTTAAAGAAGTTTCTGATCCCTACTTCCAGGTACTGTTGGTTGGTTATGGTAATTACTATTATTACGGTAGTTTGTTATATGCAATTATTGATGTATAGTTTGCTTATTGTTGATTTAGGAAGCTAAGAAGATCTCTAAACCTTACATTGATCAAGTTGCTGAGGTCACGAAGCCACATGTTGAGAAAGTTAGGAGTACTCTTAAGCCTTACACTAAAAGAGCAGTTCATGTGTATGGAACATTTCTCGAGTCTGCAACCACATACCATCGACAGGTTTGTGACTATCTTCCTCATCATGATAATTCACATTGTATGCATCAGCTTTTGTCCAATGTCAGCATTTACTAACCTTTTTTTAAACGAAGCAAATATTCATCATTTTCATTAATTGGAAGAGAATTGCCCGGTTAATTAGAGGGAAACCAGGTGAAAACCTAGATTACAACACAGCCACAAGGCCTTCATGGAACATGACACCTAAGAAAGGGCACGCTCAGACGGCATGGCCGTCAGTGTCTACTTATGAATCTCTGATATCTGATCTTCAAAGTTTTCAGTTAGGTCCACTCGTTTCTTCTGTGCCCTACCTGGTAGCTGCCAGTCACACATTAATTGGCCCATGGACCTCATGGTTGCATGCTTTCCTTGACAGTCTACTAAGTGTCTGAATCACATACAAAAATACAAAAAGCAGAATTCAACCTTGTGCAACTGTCAGTTTGCATAGCCTTGTGTCTACTCTCTAGCTGCAACTTCTTGGGGTAGCTGTGTGTTCACCAGTTGGATGTGTCCTCAGTTGCTCGCCATTCGTGAAGGACAATGACCTTGAGGGTGAGCCACCGTCTTGGCTTGGTTGGTTGGAGGATTCAAAGTGGTGACAGCATGCCTGGGAGATGCTAAGGTGGCCTTTTAGTGTTAACTCATGTCATGGGTGTGTTCCAGCTAGCAATGGAGCAGTGTCCAAGTCAAATCAGCACATTCCAATTTAATATTGGTAGGTTCGAAACGATAGCAAATGTACTTGAAGTTGGTTACAATCAAGAATTGTCTAGTAGCCATTGGGGATAGATATCCAGGAGGCCACAGAGGCCCTAAAATAGATAGGGGTTGAAGTCGGATGCGATGGTGGAAATGTTTTATACATAAAACCATTTTCTCTTTTGTGAGTGTCAGGGCCCAGCATGTGTGCTGAAGCAAACGCAAGTTGTGAATCAAGAGTGAATAAACTTGCTGGACCATGATTATACTCCCTCCTTACCATTTTGTTAGGCGTATTAGCTTTTGCATGCAATCCCAATATGCAAGGCACATGCAGTCGATTTCCTGTTTGGAGTAGTTATTAGAGGATCTCTAATTTCCTGGAGATGGTCACAAGAGATCATGCATGCCTCACTCTTTTTTCTTTTGAGCCATGTATTGTAGAGATTAACCTTGTTGTGTCCGTATAGGATTAGATTAGAATAGTCCTAGTTGGATATCTAGTCCTAGTCGGATATCTAGTCCATGTATGAACGTGTATATAAAGCACCGGCAGGGTAGCTTTTGTATAACAACGAAAAAAGATCAATAAAGAGAAAAGTTAACAGGCTCGACAGGAGCCTGTAGCTATCACCGAAAGTCTCTCCATCTGTTGTTTCGTTCGCTAGTTCCGCCGAAGAGCTGAAGTTGAATCGATCAAGTCGTTGCTAGTCCAAGCAGCTCTACATGCAGGAGTTGCACGTACGTGTGGTAGGATAATCCATCCAGCTGCTTGCGTGTGTGCTAGCTTAGCACGTACGTGTACGTTGTGATCCTGGTGATTTGATCTAGCAAGATCAAAAGCAAACATGTATGCTGCCTGCTATGATGGTTTTACTAACGATAACTTGTGCATTAATTTTTGTGCTAAAACTAATACGCCTTACAATATGGGAAGGAGGGAGTAATATTTTCTCCCCTTCTATTTTTCATCTATAACTTCTGTTGCAATATTTTCAAATTGATTGTGGCCCTTTTTCATATGAAGTCCTACGAGTCAGCTAATATCTGCACCTAATAAATCTGTACTAGCCAAGAAGGTTCTCACTATGAACTTTGCCAATGTTGACTTCTAAAAGTAGTTTACATGTGAGAAAAATCTCAAAATCTTTTCATCTTGTAGGCTCAAGCAACCATTTCAGATTACTTGCACCAACATGAAATAACAAAATCACTTGTGACTAAGGAGTTGGTTTGGTTCCTGGTAAGCACTCTTGGGAAATAGTCAGAAACAGCAACCTCGATGGCCATCTATCTGACAAACATCCCATATTTTCTTTTACAGGCTTCTGCTTTGCTGGCTCTACCTGTGTTTATTATGTACAGGCTTCTAGTAGATACCTTCTGGTAGTTTGTTTTACTTTCGTTAGCCAATATAATTCTAATTATCAACGCTGCGACCTTGCGTGAACTGATAGCATAATTGCCTTGAAACCTCTTGTTGACACAGCACGAAGAAGCAGAAGAGATCGCCTCTTAATGGTAACGGAAACAATGGCAATAGGAGACACAAGCGCCGACATGCTGAGAAGTAAACTATCGTCGGCTGCCATGTAGGGTTGCAGGTACCATTTCTCTCTTTTTAACAGCGGTAGAACAAAAAGTATGCGTAGTCCTGGATTGACTCGCTGAGATCATTTTTTTTGTGTGTGTGGGCAAGTCAGATGGTGTTCATAGTTGATGCATTGATGGGCATATGTTAATATTCTGATTTTTGCCGCAGAAATCAGAGCATGTCCTTCCCTGATGAGGCTGCGCTCCTGTTCATGGTAGAAGGATGGAACGCTGTACACCACCAGATTTTTTCGTTTTCCTTTTGCCCCCTATTGTACGGACTCTAGTTTCAGCAGCGGCCTTATGTATCTGCATCTTGCCGAGGTTTAATATGGGCTTAAACCTCGGCGTTTGTTAATTGTTTATTGTAACTTTGTTGATACGCTTGAGTTTGTTTGCAGCGTGCTTTGCTAGTTTTTGTTCTCGCTCATCGGCATCCTAACTATACGAGATACGGTTGTTCTACAATTTATGTAATTAAAATCCGTACGTGCTATGATTTGGTGAGATCTGCAATCAACGTTGAGCTATAAATCGGTGCTATGATTTGGTGAGATCTGCAATCAACGTTGAGCTATAAATCGGTTCCTTGCCAGAAGAATAAGATCCGGCGGCACCGACCGATTTTTGAGATCTGCAATCAACGTTGAGCTATAAATCGGTTCCTTGCCAGAAGAATAAGATCCGGCGGCACCGACCGATTTTCACCTGTTGTTTCGGGATGTCGACAAAAAGCTTGCTCAAGCCTAATACTCGAATAGAACGTGTCATATCCGTGCAAAAGAAATAAAGGGTGAAGTGAATGGATTCTGAGAATTTTCAACTTGCTCGAACGCTATCCCTAATTAGGACTTAACCGAATTGATGCCCCTTAAAATCATTCTTCTTCTGCCCCTGGTAAAGACGTTTTGCTAATGCTGAATCTCGCAATATTTTAAACCAAACAAGGACCAACAACAGATCGAACATAGGCGGCAAGGATCCCAATCCCATGAGGCAGAGTAACCTTGAACAATTCGCCTTGGAGGGGAGAGTGGAAGGGAGAAGGGTGGCTGAGCAAGGGGTTTAGGGGAGATGGAGCGTGAGACTATTTCTTGATCTTTCAGTTTTATCTTTTTCAGACCAGAATGAGAGAACGACCCTAATGTACTCAGAATCGCAGACTTCAATACTCCTGTTCCTAAATATAAGTCTTTCTCCGTATGTAGTATATATTAGAATCTCTAAAAAGACTTGTATTTAGGAATGGATTGAGTAGTAAATAGTAAAGATAAACAGAGTATTCATAAAGAAATAATTAAAACTGAATTTTACTAAAAAAGGGCTAAAACTCGCTATTCAAACAACCACTCAGCTAAAATATCAGAGGTCAAAACATACCACCAACCACCATCTCCCTAACAGTTTGCACGCAGCTTTAATATTATTTAGAGACCACACATGTCAGGCCTCGAACTTCTTCTTTGCAGCTAAACAAATTTAAACCACAGATTAAGACCTCAAACGTCTGCTGTTCTGCCAAATGAGGGCTTGCAAAGGAAATTCAAATTCCAACCAGATAAATCATGGATATTACAGAATGGGGCGTCTTCGTCACTACCCTTCAGGTTTCAGCCAACCACAGTGAAGTCCTTGGGAGCAAAAAGCACCCTCACATCGAATTGGCCATACTTCAACACCGAATCGTCAGGAGACCTAACAGCTCCAACAGCTCTTTGCTCAAAAGTCCACCAAAACAGCGATTCCTCCAGTTCCAAGCAAACATCCAGTTTCCCCTTGGCCTTCACCGCGACGACATGCTGGAGCAGCTTCTCGTCACCAGAGAACTCGCCATCAAACAGCACAATCTCACGAGCAAAGCCACCGATGTATGCGGCGAATCGCAGATGGTGAGGGTGCTCAACCTTTGCAAAGACCTGTATCACAACCTCCACACTCCCTGCAAGCAACAGGTAGTCCATGACCAGGCTGCAACGGTCGCCTGTTATCTGCCCATCTATCATCAAATCTAAATCATACTGCCCCTCAATCTCAGCATACGCAAGAAGTAATCGCTTGTCGGATGATCCATCTCCTTCGCACTTTTCCCAAAGATCGACTTCTAGTAATGCCTTCTCCCATATGTACATTCCACGACAAGGGCTACAAAGAGGCAATGCAAGGGAATCCTGCAATTAAGCAACATTAGTGGATGTCAGAACACAAAGAGATAGATTAATCCATTTTTACATACATCAGGAGTACGTATCGATAGAATAATAAACTCAATAAGACATGCATGATCATGTTTAAATTAAAGTTCAGCATTGTTTCTAAGTACAGAGCACATATATTGTTTCGTTTCATTCCAAATGTATGTCATTCATGCATTTTTCACTCTTTCCCCACTCATTCGTATATCAAGTCAACCACCTCAGCATTCACGGTAAACATTCACAAATATCAGGAAGACCGAGAATGTCATGAACATCCCAACATACCGTGCTGTTTGTTTTATTTCTAGTCAGTAAAATAAGCCTTACAAACATTAATATGATTAATATAGGATGGCCAGTTTTGTATGTTACTGATGATACAATCATATCAACTTCTTGGGATTTAATAGCATGTTAAGATGACTATTTTTGCATGTTTCTGTAGAGCTTTGCATCTGTTGGTTTTAGAATCACAGTCAGACATCTGACGGCATGTTGATGTAATCATAGAATGCTTAACAACATGCAACGTGATTAGCTGGCAGGCGCTCAAGAAGATAATGAAAGGGGCAACAGCACAACATACTGGGATTATTTATTAGTTAAGACTCGAGACCCAGTGACCCTTTTATCAGCCAAAAGTAGCATTCTGACGACGGAAGGGATAACTGAAGTCCACACAGGTATAATAACACCACGAGCATAGAAAGAAGTCTAGCTTTGATGAATTACGTACCTGGTCAATCACGAGAGCGTCGTCTCTGCAGGGACGGTTAAAGACAGGATTCCGTAGTGGCTCCAAGTCATCCCGGATAGCAACTACTCCATAGACACTAGCCGGATAGGGCTCAGAGCAAGTTACTTTCAGTCCAAAGATCTGTATCATCTTCCCCGGATCACGATACCCAAGAGTTGATTTAGCTGCACATACAGAGATGGCAAAAAATAAGTTGCTATGTACATACTCCCTCCGTCCCAAAATAAAGTGTCGTTGATTTAGTACAACTTTGCACGAAATCTGCAACACTTATTTTGAAACATAGTAACAGATTATTTACCAGGCTAGCTAAGAATGAGAGGCATCAAGTACAGTAGCTTACTGCTGGAAGTAACATGGGTTTTGTATTCACGGTGGTGGCAGTGATCCCTCCTGATGCACAGGCCTGACGCCTCAGGGAACACTTTGAGAGGACAAGCGGGGAGAAGGGCATTCTCATCTCCACTCGCTAGAATCTCATTACACATCCTCTGGTATTCAATGTTCCCTTTGGTGTATGCCTCCATCCACGCTGCGTCCACTCGCCTTGCTTCTTTCCTGGGGAAGTTCTTCCCTGAAGAATCAAGCCAGTGCAGACTGTAGAATCAACCTCGGTAGTTATTTTGGGCAGAGCGTGAGTGAGCAGCGTGCTCTACCTGGGCAATTCGTCTCCTCGTCGTCCGTCGCCAGTGCATGCTCGTCGTCCTCGCTTGTGTACTCGGGATCATCGATGTCGAACTCTTCCCAGCGGATGACAGGTGGCTCTGAAGCTGCACGCGCAGTTGCACAAAGAATTGATCAGCTGTTGCACAAAGATTAGTTGGAAAAATATAGAGACGCTAGGCGGTAATACTCACTGCCCAGCAGGTAGTCACGTATGCTAATGTCGAGAGGCTCCCCCTCTTCTTCCTCCTCCTCCTCGCGTGTATCATGGGGACGCTGGGGCGTGGGACCGGGATCTGAGGGGAGCTCGAGGCTGAGCAGATCGTCGGGGTAGCGGCCGCCGGGAAGGGCAAGGGCAGGAGAGTGTTGCTGCTCCGCGGCCATGCTTTAGGTCGTGAGTAGTACACAGTACGTTTCTTCCTTGGGGGCACGAGCGCACCTATTTGTACGTGAGCATAGCGGTCGCTATGTGGACTCCGGACTTGAGCCGGGGCGCATTGCAGCGGTTCGATAGGGAGTAGTATTAGATCGTACTACCTCCGAAAGCGAGTAGTATTGAATCATCTCAGCCGTCAATTAGCGGGGTAGTTTTGTTAAAAAAATTTCTTTCCTAATTTGTAAAAATTGCTAGCCGTGACCATCCTCGTGCGGCCTCGTACAGTTGCCATCGCCGGTCATCAACAATCGCATGTCCAACAGTCGATCAGAGCTAGCTTCCGTGACCTCCAAGTGGGAGCTCGAAGTCTGCTTGTGCCTGCGTCACTTGTGTGCAGCGGCCGCGGCCGCCGGCTTGATCGCCGGAAAACAATCGGCTGATGCGTACGTACTTGTGTATCATAAAATGATCAATTAATGTATTGTACATACATGGTAATTTCCTCAGCCAAAAAGACCGTCCGGCAAGGATCCATCGACTATCTACAATCGTCGCTCTGTTGCATCTCATGTCCGTCGGAAAGTATTCGGGCGAACCGGTCCTGCAGTCTCGTCAGAGCAAAAGAAAAAAACACACAGATTTCGCAATACGTGTAGAGTTATGGTATTGATTTTGTATAAGTCTTTTAGTTTTACCTCTTGAACAAAATATACTACTGATTTTTTCTAGTAGTATTGATGGATCTAGTCCATTGAATCACTCGAAATGAAACTCCATGGGCAGTAGCACCCACGATTTTATTGATATAGAAGAAGCATCCCTCATGAGAATTCCAGAAATTCGTCCCCGACGTGGATCGAACTCTGGTCGTTAGGTTTACAATCATGCGCCCCCAACCACTGGGCTATGCCATATTATTTCGAAGGATCAGCTGGTAACCTCTTTGACGTGGTGGTGAGGTTATTAGCACACAAGGGCGTGTAGAACAATCCAATGACACACAACAGATAGCATATTAATACAATTCTAAACCATAACAAGCAGTTTTAAACATAGTATCACACTTAAACATAGCAGTTTGCAAGCAAAGCAGTATGTCATCATAGATACGAAACCAGCTAGAGCAACGGAGAGCTGTCCTAGACGTTCACGGCGAAGGCATTGTCGTGCCTCTCGCACTTGGTCACCACTTCAATGCATTCGTCGTTCAAGACGATGACCTTGAGCATGATTGGAGTCAGCAACTTGAAGGTTGATAACCCACAAGTATAGGAGATCGCAATAATTTTCAAGGGTAGAATATTCAACCCAAATTTATAGATTCGACACAAGGGGAGTCAGAGAATATTTGCAAGTATTAATAATTGAGTTGTAAATCCAGTCACACCTGGAGATTACTTATCTGCATCAAAGTGATCAGTAGCACAGTAATATGATAGTTTTGATAGTAGTAGCAATAGCAATAGCAACGGTAGCAGTGATAGCAGCAATTTTGTAGAAAATACAACAGTAACGATAGCAGTGATAACTTAGCAAGAACAATATAATAGAAATTCGTAGGCATTTGATAGGTAATTTGTTGGATGATATTCATCATGTGACAGTCATAACCTAGGGTGATACGGCACTAGCTCCAGTTCATAAATATAATGTAGGCATGTATTCCGTAAATAGTCATATGTGCTTTATTAAAAGAACTTGCATGACATCTTTTGTCCTACCCCTCGTGGCAGCAGGGTCCAATTGGAAACTAAGGGATATTAAGGCCTTCTTTTAATAGAGAACCGGAACAAAGCATTAGCACATGGTGAATACATGAACTCCTCAAACTACAGTCATCATCGTGAGTGGTCCCGACTATTGTCACACCGGGGTTGCCGGATCATAACATGTAGCATGTGACTATAACTTGCAAGATCGGATCTAGAACATGGATATAATGGCGATAACATAAACGGTTCATATCTGAAATCATGGCACCCGAGCCCAAAGTGACAAGCATTAAGCATGACAAAGTCATAGCAATATCAATCTTAGAACATAGTGGATACTAGGGATCAAGCCCTAACAAAACTAAGTAGATTAACATGATGAATCTCATCCAACTCCTCATCGACCAGCGAGCCTACAAAGGAATTACTCACTCCTGGTGGGGAGCATCATGGAATTGGCGATGGAGAAGGGTTTGTGATGATGAAGAACGAAGGTCCCCCTCTTCGGAGCCCCAAACGGACTCCAGATCTGGCCTCCGGATGAAGAACAAGAGGCGACGGCGGCTCCGTCTCGTGGATCATGATAATTGTTTCTCCCTGATTTTTTTTAGAAATATGGAATTTTATAGTGTCGGTTTCAGAGTCTGTGGGGCCACCAGGTAGGGACAACCCACCTGGGCGCGCATGGGGGGAGGCATGCCCTAGTGGGTTGTGCCCACCCAGGTGCCCCTCTCAGGTAGCTCTTGACTCCAGAAATTCTCTTTATTGATATAAAAATTCCTCGCAAAGTTTCGTTCCATTACGAGAACTTTTATTTCTACACAAAAACAACACCATGATAATTCTGCTGAAAATAGCGTCAGTCCGGGGTTAGTTTCATTCAAATCATGCAAATTAGAGTCCAAAAAAAGAGGAAAAGTGTTAGGAAAAGTAGATACGTTGGAGACGTATCAACTCCCCCAAGGTTAAACCTTTGCTTGTCCTCAAGCAATTCAGTTGATAAACTGAAAGTGAAAAAGAAAAACTTTTATGAACTTTTTTGCTCTTGTTTGCATAAATAAGCTTAAACAGCACCCAGCTTTTCAACCACTATTATAACTAACCATGCCGACAATAACTCTTAAAAATTATATTAACTCATACCAATAACATAATCAGCTAGCGAGCAATAATAAGATATCTCAAACAACAACACGTTATCAAAACAACTATGATATAATATGACAATAGTGGTATCTCGCTAGCGCTTTTCGAGACCGCAAAACATAAATGCAGACCACCTCCGAAGTTGAAGCATCGACTAAACAATTTAATTCATGGTAGAAAAGATCCAGTCATGATGCACCCAACATTAGCTATACACAATGCATCAGCATGACAGCAGTGCTCTCAGGTTCTGACACTTATTCTAGAAGGTGATGACACAACATAAAAGTAAATAGATAGTCCCTTCGCAGAGGGAAGCAGTGATTTGCAGAGGTGCCAGAGCTCAAGTTTTTAAAACAGATGTAAATGATATTTTGAGACATGCACCCTTCTTGTTTACTTCACGACCATCAGTTATCAATATCTTCCATGCTAAGCATGCTAGTGGCGGTTCCCAAGCGATAAAAGTAGAAGTTTAATCCTCCTCCACCAACAATCACACTTCACGGCTTGTCTGAAACAATGGGTGCTGTCCATACCAACAACAGTCCCAAGGGAGTTTTGTTTAACTATTTGGATTTTGAGTTCGGGACTGGGAATCCCTATTACCGCCCTTTTCTCGTGAGATGGTGAGTGAATAAAAACTCAACCTGAGAATAACCCGCTTAGCATGGAAGATACTGACCACCTCCTGTCATTCGATGAACGATCTAGGCACACAAAAAGACCATTTATTTAAAGTTTTTTAGAGGTGGCACATGCAAATTTACTTAGGACGACAGGGTAATACCACATATAGGTAGGTATGGTGGACTCATCTGGAATAACTTGGGTTCAAGGTTTTTGATGTACAATCAGAATTCCCACTTAGTGCAGGCGAAGGCTAGCAATTAGGTTGAGAAGCAACCAACTAGAGAGCAACAACGGTCATGACCATGCATTATGCATAAGTAACATTGGACACTAGCATGAGTAGGATATGAACATAAATATCAATATATCATAGAGGCTATGTTGGTTTTGATTCAGCTACATGCATGCTCATGTGCCAAGTCAAGCCACTTGAACATTTAGAGGAGGATACCATATCATCATAGTATATCACAATCATTTTAACGCAATGTTGATATTCAAGATAAATAATTATCCACTCCTAGCTACTTATGCATGGCATGAGAAACTATAATCTCTAATTGTCATTGCAAACGTGTTTAATCGTAATGGGCTGAAGCATGGATACTAGGTTAAACATATTTATAAAAACAAAACAAGTCGAGTTCATACCAGTTTCTCTCTGCCACGACTAGTTCATCGAATATCGTCATTATTGCCTTTCACTTGCACGACCGAACAATGTGAAAATAATAATAGTGCAAGAGTGTCATGGACGAAGCTATAATCTGCAAACATTTTATTCAATAGGAGAAGACAAGGTACAATGGGCTCTTTGTTAGGTATTATGCATATGAGAGCCACTTAGCATTTTCATCGTGGTCTTCTCCTCGGTACGACTGAAATAAAAAGGAAAAGAAACTCAGAAAAACACACTGAAATATTTTTAGAGTTTTTGGTTTTCTTGAACAAGCAAATAAAAGGGGAAAGCAAAAACGAGAAAAAATATTCACACGGGAAAGCTCCCAACAAGCAAAAGAAGAACAAGGGAATATTTTTGGTTTTCCTTTTAGTACTACAAGTAAGCATGCATAGAAAGTAAACTAACTACAACTATTTTTTGGTTGTTCTAAGGTTTTTCAAACACACAAGAAGAAAGCAAGAAAATAAAATTAAGTATGGATGATACAATGAAAAAGTGGAGACACCGACAAATGGAACAAGTGGACATGAATATAAAGTCAGTGGAAACACGTACTCCTCCAAGCTTAGGCTTTTGGCCTAACTTGGTAGTCGATCAGAAGCCTGGATATTAGTCGGCGTGGTAGCTCACGGATCCTACTACTGAGGCTCCTCCTCCGCGGCAGCCTGGTTGTTCCGGTAGGCGATGATATCTGCAGGCATAATCATGTATCCGCCCCTGGCAATAGGATCAAACAAAGCAGGAGCAGGCAATGGAATAATATCACGAGTGTTAATTCTGAAGACCAGGTTATATAGAATAGGAATGTTAGGGTAATCTCGTGCAATAAAATGAT